GTTGTTGTTGTTGTTGTTGTTATGTGCCGTCGAGTCAGACCTGACTCATAGCGACCCCTCCTTGGGTTTCCGAGGCAGTATCACTACGGAAGTACGATTGCCCAACCTTCCTTCCGAGGAGTGGCTAGTGGGTTTGAACCGCCAGCCGTCTGGTTAGCAGTCAAGTGCCTTAGCCACTATGCTACCAGAGCTGCCTGATTTTTCAGAAGTAACTAGGCCTTTCTCCTAAGGCACCTGGGAGGGGGGAAATTCGCATCGCCATCCTCTTGTTAACAGCCTCCTGCATTACCTCTTTGCACACCCCAGGGCCCTCCTGCTCACTACTACACCAAACCAAACCAAACCAAATTCACTGCCATGGAGTTGACTCTAACTCATAGCAACCCCTGCTGGGTTTCCAAGGCCATAAATCTTTAGGGAAGCAGACAGCCCCATCTTTCTTCCGCTGAGCCGCAGGTGGGTTTGAACCACTGACCTTTTGGATAGTAGCCAACTAATTGCCTTACCCACTACACCACCAGAGCTCCTTTCCTGCTCACTGTTGTTGTTGTTGTTGTTATGTGCCGTCGAGTCAAACCCGACTCATAGCGACCCCTCCTTGGGTTTCCGAGGCAGTATCACTACGGAAGTAGGATTGCCCAACCTTCCTTCCGAGGAGTGGCTGGTGGGTTTGAACCGCCAGCCGTCTGGTTAGCAGGCAAGTGTCTTAGCCACTATGCTACCAGAGCTCCTAGGGCATCCTTAATGCCTTGTATTGCACAGGGCAGGTAAGCACCGGTAAGGGGCATTCTGTTTTTGGAATAAATGGAAGGAATGAATATTAAAGGAATGAATGGATGGCAGAGTGTGCGCGCGGTGTACACAGTGGGCTAGAGGAAAAGTAGGGCTGGGGGCGCTTGGGCTGTGAGGCCTGGGCGTTGCCCAGCTTCCGAGTCCAGATTCCAGCCCAACCTCCCAGTCAAGGAGAGAAGGAGCCTGAGACAGGGCACCCTGACCGAGGGTGCTGGGCCAGTGGCAAAGGAAGCAGAGCGTGGGGGCCACAGCCAGCAGACGCAAGACACGGAGGACAGAGGTCGGGGGCAGAGGGCACAGGTGAGCAGAACGTGTCTGAGATCCAGGACGCACAGAACGTGGAGGCGCGGGGCACCTGGGCGTGGGGATCCGGAGGCGCAGGTTAGGTGCCCGAGACTCAGGATGCATAGACGTGGTACGCCCGAGGCGTAGGACACCAGGAGCGTGGGGGTCCCAATGCATAGGGTAGGGCGTCCGAGGCGCGGGCACCAGCGGTGCAGGCTCGGGACGCCAGGGCAAGTCTGCGCGCGCGCGCGGATGCGTTGGCTTCGGGAGCCGGGCTGCAGGAGCGGTTTCCACTGCGGCTGCGCAGCCGAGGGTCTTGCGGGGGCACCGGGGGCCAAGAGGGGTGCGAGTGCATCGCAGTGGCCGGCACTAGGGTCTCGTTCATGTGCCAGCCTCTCCCCACTCTTTGCCTCGTGAGCTGCCCCCCACCCCCCCGCCTGCCATAATAGGAGATCGAGCTTGCCTGGGGGTTGGCGAACCAATCCTCGCGCGACCCCGCAACTGCGGGCGGGGACGCGGTACTAAGAGAAAGTGGTCACTTGGACCGACTGGGTAGGGGGTTCTGGAGGGTATTTTTTTCAAAACTCAGCCACAGGTCCCCTAGAGGATGCTCCACCCCACTCCCACCCCCAGGCCGCCTGGAGCGCAGGGGTAGTTGGGTGGCCAGCTCACAGCTGGAGGGTTGGGGAAAGGAGGCTTGGAGCCAGAAGACCCGTGGGGCGCTGCAGAACTACCTCACCGGCTTTCCCTGGGTTCTGTCTCCCTTTCACTCATACTGGATTTATAAGAAGCTGGCTGCCGGGATGTGTGGAGGGCCTGGTTACCCCTGAGTCACCGCACACACTCCCCAGCACCTCAAAACTCTCTATGGGTCCCACTTGATCTCTCACTGGGAAACGGAGGCGTGCAGAGGCAGGATTGTGCATGACCAGTCCACCTGCAGTCAGTGTCTGATTACCCAGTAAGCAAAGTAAGCTTGTGCTTACCTTGCTTGTTGAACAATCTGGGCCTGCCTGCAGTCAACGGGGGGGGGGGGGGGTTGTTTGCTCTGCACCCACTAATTTCCACTTCATTGCCCTCTCCATCCCCAGACTCTGGTCACCTGCATTCAAGGCCAAAGCTCTGTGGCCATCAATCCCTGGCCATGATGGGGGAATCAAGGTGGCCCACCTGTCTCCTCAGCTCTGAGTTCTTGGGGCCAGATTTGGCACATGTTCTGGGCTGTGCATGGTGTCCTGAATTTGATAGCTGGCCATAGAGGTCAACCTCTGGTCACCCAGGCTGCCAGGAAGCTGGTGTGCTCACCTCTTCTCTGGGTTCAACCACCAGGACAAGCAAGAAGTGGGCAGCTTATCTTCTCAGCCACTATTCAGTTCTCTCCCTCAACCCCCTTGAAGCCCAAACGGATTCTTGGATGCCACGTTAATTCCCTTGCAGACCTTCAGGCCAGGCTTTCATATATGCTCACAGTCCCCATCCATGTCTTCACCAAGCTTCCTATATTTGACCACCCCAACGCCTCCCACCCCTGCTCCTGCACCCTTTCCCTCTCTCCAAGAGCCAGGTTTGGGTGACAACAGATTCTCCTCCCTTGAGACAGATACCAGGTTTTTGCACCGACCCCCCCCATCCTTAGCCCACCCCCTTCCTCTAGAATCCACATCAGGATTTGTCTCTGCCTCCCCCTCCCCCTGCCCCCCTACCAGGGGCGGCCTCCTGACAATGCAAAGATTCAGCCCAGACTTTGCCTGTGCTGGGAGCTTCAATATTTGGGCTTACTTGGATGGACTCCCTTCCCTGGAGATCCAAGACCAGGTTTTGGTCTTCCCCATACATCAATCTTAGAGTTGCGTCAGTTTTCCTTAATATGGGGCTAGCAGCTCGTCTTCCAGGTCCGGTCTCTGGAGATCCTAACCG